GCTCCTCCGTCTCGAGCAGGATCTTGGTACCATCGGCCGTCTTGAAGTGATAACCCCGAAGACCCGCCCACTTACGACCTCTCGATATCATTTCGTCCTTGATTTTGGCGGCATCGGGGGAGAAGGAGATGGGGAATACAGGCAGACCAGTCACCTTCTTAAAACCATCGAACTTCCAAATGGTCAAGCTAGTGGTAGTCCAGCCAGAACTCTCGCCGTTCCAGTCGACATACTCCATGTCAATAACCCAACCCTCGGGGTTGCATCGGTCGGCTGGTCGCTTCTTGTACTTGACAACCCTGCAGACGGTATCGATGCCGTAGAACTTGGTCTTGACCACCGAGCTGGGGGGAAAGATCTGCCAGACATTCTCAAAGCTGACCTTGCCAGTATGCTTGGTTTGTGCTAGCGAGAGGACCGACGACGCCACAATAGGGGCCAAGAATGCGATCAAGGCAATCGCCGCATTCTTCTGAGGGCCAGCAGGAAGAGCTGAGAAGTGCGTCTTGAGATCTTCCCAGCGGTGAACCAAGGGCATGAAAGGGGGTGCAAAAGTCCAGCTTGCCAGGTCCAGGTCTAGGTCCTGGTACTTGGCGAGCACCACGCGTAGGACGTCCCGCATGGCGGAGTCCTGGATAGTGATGGACTGGGTGACCCAGTGCTTGTTGACATAGTGGTGGCGATGAATGATGGGTATGGCAGATGTTCGGGCTCGCAGGTCGGTTTCCTCATCGTCGACATTGTCAAACTCAGCCCATCGCTCAGGGCACGAGTTGTATTCACACTCATGGTGATACCACTTGCTTACGAGCTTCGAAGAGTAACCCAATTGGACGGCCTGCACTTCACCCTTGCTGTTCTTCCTCAGCGGCTTGATGCCTGGGGCTCCATTGAGGACCTTGGTGAAGTCTTCGGCGGGCTTATCATTGTCCGAGTCACTGGTGTCGTCGGTTTCGCTGTCTTCGGCCTCTGACTCGGAGCTGATGCTGGAGTCATCAACATGTTCATCCTCGGTTTCTTCACGGGTACGGCCTGTTGGACAATTTAGTTTAATTATCGGAGCTTAATGGGCTTGTTGGGCTTTCTCACCACTGGCTCGGGCAGTTGCTTTGGCTCGAGGCATCGTAAAAGGAGTTGAGGATGGTGGGGAAGCTTAACGGTTGTTGATTCTACTTGATGGAGTATTTCCCGCCAAGGTAGAGTGTGAATTGAGAGATGATGAGAGTGATAAGAAAATCTGAACCACGAGGAATATCTATGGACTTATATATTCATCTATGACTCTTTCTGCCATGAGTAGGTCGGACCTGAACTTGCTCTCCTACAAACCTCAGGCATCTGTTGGTGCATTCGTGAATGCAACTGCAGGCAACCATAGCGCCAACCACCCAACCACAGCGCAGTCAGCGCGACCTTACAGTGGGTCAGCCAGGCTTCTGCCTGTAAATCAGTGGATTGGCCTCCGTCGATTCCTTACCTATCAACAGGGGCTCTCGTAACCGGAAATGGCCGCATCATCATCATCCCTGACCGATCCCGATGGCGGAGGGGGGTAATCAATTACAGACGAAGAGTCATACACCGAGCAAGGATTTTTTTATTGTGTTGGTGCATGTGGTTGTTGGTCCTTTGCTGCAGCAAGCCGATTTTCACGCTGGCGCTTTGGTGGAGGCGTTGGAAAGCGGGCATTATTCAACATTGCGGCGAGATAACCCGCACACCACGACATCCCAGCCTAGAAGGATTCTGCACCATAAATCCAACGTAAGCTGTTTCGGGTTGTCTCGTAACTCTACTCTGGCTTTGGTTTGCTGGGGGCCATCACAATGATCACCGTATGGATGAAAGAGTCCTATTTTGACTCTACTAGTGGCCCTTGCCATCACTGTCTTCCAACAAAGTGTTCGGAGATGAAACAATTCCAAGACATGGGATGCTGATAAGCTGCATACCTATATACTCCCTCCACGCGCTATGTACTCTTCGTTCTTATAAGCTAACTAAGACCTTATTAACCTCACTGTTTCAACAAGAGATCTACGCCTTCTTTCTCGACCGAACAACCATGGTCAGCAGAATAAATGTCATGCCAATCATAAAGTCCACTCCGGCAAAGCACTGCGCCCCGAGATAGCTTCCATCCATGGCTGTAATAATCGCCCCCGCAATCGGACTCCCAGTCAGTGCGGCGAAGCTGACAATAGTGAATACCATACCGATCCTCGTCCCCCGCTTACGTGGGTCTGCCGTCAACGAGCTGGCAGCAGCTGGGAACAGGTTTTGAATCGCCCCGGCGAAGATGCCGTAAAAGGCCGACCATGCGTACAGCTTTGGGGGGGTATCGACGGGAATCCATGCCAGCACTGTCACGCCGCATAGCAGACACGCGGGTGCTAGCATGGTAAGAGGACCGACATAGTCGGCAAAATAGTTTGGCCCCAGACGGCCAATGATGCCGATGCCGTTGACCACGAGCAGCAGATTGAGGGAGTCCTCGTATGACATATTCGGTGTCAGATGGGACCTACTGAACGCCGGGAGATAGTAAAAGGCAAAATAAAGCCCCCAGAAGTTCTGATCTCTGTTAGCCACAGTATCGCATCAAGAGACGACCGAATCGCCTCGCAAACATGTACGTACAAAGAACATGCCAATCGCAAAAAAAGTGTAGTCAAGCTCCTTAAACGCAGCCCACTCCACCATGGGGCCTTTCTTCCTAGCTGGGACCCTCGGTTTGATCAATATGTTGGACACGATGAGGGTGCCGAGCTGCACGAAGGCGATGGCTCGCATGCACCAACCAAACCCAATCCGGGGCAGCAGCTGTCTGGCCATCGAGGGGAAAACCAGACCACCTGTGACGGATCCAGAAGCAGCGAGGCCAATGGCAATGGATGTCTTCTTTTCAAAGTACGTTGATATCACCGAAATTGCCGGCGTGAAAAGGCAAGCACTTCCCAGGCCCATGCAAACGCCTTGTGCTAGCAACAAATGCCAATACTGGCTTCCAATGGACACCATGAAGGTGCCGAAGACAGTGAGAACGGTCCCGGTGAGAATTGTTGAGCGGCAGTACCCAGCATCCGTGAGTCTTCCTGTGATGGTGCCACCAAAGAAGATCAGGAACACCTGTAGCGAGCCGATCCAAGAAATGTCCGAAGGTGGAGCATCAAGCATCTCAGCATACTATGGAGATGTCAGTAGTTTATTCTGATTATCACCCATCATTCTAGAATTCCTTTCACGCTTCCCATAGGCACCTCAATTTTTAAGTTTGTCAACCGAAATTGGCGTCGCGATGTTCTTGGGCAGAACTCTCCTGCGAACAGTAGTCATACCGGGAGGCGAAAATGAGTACTCACATAAGGTTGAAACACCCCAAAGGAGACGATGAATCCCCATGTGTTCATTATGACTAGATGACCAGCAAAACCTAATAGTCGTTAATCCGGATGCGAGACTTTCAATTTGACATTGGGCACTCACAAATTGCCCACGCCGCCCAACCCCCATCCGGCGGCGGCTTGAGATTCTCGGAACCAGGTATAGAAGGAGCCAATGCACCAGGCATCTCGTCTACTTCCTCTGTAGGAGAGTTTCGGCCTGATGAGTTCTTCCCCTCCGCTAGAGCATAGTTGCGGGGACCAGCCGGCTCCAATTCGAAAGGATCTTTCTCATCCTCAGCCCGCTGTGTTGCTGCTCTGCTTCTTGACGACTCGTTGTGTGTCGGTACCGGTATTGTAGAACTACTGCTCCCCATTGCGAGGTCTATTGAACTGTCGCGCATTGCAAATGGCTTTCACTGATTATTTGGCGTTGGGCAGAAACTTCAGTAACCCAGCCCAGTCCAGCCTCGGCAAACGCGATATCGGAGGCTCCAGAACCCTGCGATGGTAGTGTAGCTTATGACCCCCGCTGAATGCCGTTCACTGGATCGACTCTTACGACGAGCGAAAGAGGGGAGTAAAAGCCAGAGACGCAATTTGAGAGGAAACAAGGCAAAAATCGGTTGCAGTTGAGGTCGGTACTAAAAAATAAACCAGACAAAGTCGAAATCCGGGGGCAATAAGAATGGGGTTTGTTATATCCGCGGGCCGTGGCTAACGCTGGTTTGTGGAACTCGGCCGGGTATGACTTTCTCCATAGACTACACTTTTGGCAGGAGTGATGACAAGTCCATCGAAATTGTGGAGTCTTCGGAACTTGTTCCCGTCGCCGCGAGGATGCAAGCCTGGATTTGTAATCCAGATTGGAGAGTCTTGGCTACGCTCAAGGTCATTGTAGCTATATTTGAAGACAATGCAAGAGAAATTTCAATTCCATCCCTAGTCAAGTATACTCAGTCAGCGGCTCTGCAACTAAATTAGACCATCCTAGCATGATGGCAGCCTCAGGAATTTCACGACTTGTCATATATCGCCGTCTTTATGGTCCTCATCTCGCCTTTTGCTGCTTATCGGAGTTAGAAATAGCCTCGCAGACGCTGCATGGAACTCCTGGACGGGTAGTATGGCTAACGCCAGAGCAGCTTAGTTTCTCCGTTGTTGAGCTAATCGTCTTGACACGAGTAAGTGATACAGTAGGGAAGTAGGTCTGGTAATGCTGCGACGCAAGTCTTTTCCCCTACAATCGAGTAGTGCCGACTCTGCTGGGCTGAGAATTCAAAGAGACTGTGATGCGTAAAATAGAGGTGTAGTTCAAGATTCAACGGTGTATGTTGAGCTCAGCGTCATCCTCAGTTACACTGCTACCCTAGGCGCCATGTTCATCTATGGATCTCATCGCCGGTATTCCTTAACACTCTATGACCATTGCGCTGGACACACCACATTTTAGACGATAGCGGGCGTTTATCGAAACAGACACGGTCGAATCACAAGACGTAGCGCCGTGCTAAGCACCTGAGATCAGTCTCTGGAGGGATTCTAGCTTCCTTTCATACAAGAACCGGATGTTTACTATATAGCATGCAATTTCGAGCCGACGTCGCATCCAAAATTGGGCTTGTGGTCTAGTGGCATGATTTTCGCTTCGCAAGTTGCTCAGCTCAGCTAAGCACACGATGTGAGTGAAAGGTCCGGGGTTCGATCCCCCGTAAGTCCAGCCTCCTTGATGGGTATTTCTTTTTGTCCCAAGTGATTTTTTGCGTCGTGTCTCTTTTTTTTGCATCGTCTTGTAATCGATGTCTCGGATTATTGTTACTGACCTCTGCTCCACCCTAGGAAGTTCTTAAGGCCCTAGAGGACACAGAATCAATATTGCAATCATCAAGGCAGAAAAGGGCTGGGTGCACTCACTGTTCCTGCTCCTGCAGTCTCATTCTTACCTGGCGACATTCTTGGAGAATGGTACGGGCAGGTAGGATGTGCCATGACCCGTTCCCATCTTGGTATGTCTTTCTCGGTTGATGTCGGCCGGTGATCCAATACTGTGGTGTGAATCGGCCCGCCTTGGCTGCATGAGACCTATGTAACCCTTCCTCACATATCAATCAGACAAACAATTAGCGCCCAGCAACTAATCACCAAGGTAAGTACAAGTCCCGGGGTAATTGCGGGGTGCTTAATGTGGGGTAGTCCTGGGAGGCAATGATGCTTGTCATCAATATAATGTGCTGTATTTTTCCTCCAACCGCGACTCATCTCGGACAGCTTGAAGGTTGTCCGTTGGCGATGCGCCGAGCATCATTTGTGCAGCGTCTGCACGGCCCAGGCATCGCATATCGGGATAATTGCTTAGGGGGCACGGCATGTTGATAATGCGGCGGCATTCCAACATAGGTATAAGAAGCCGTGGTCAAGATGCTAAAGAAATATAGAGAACAATACACCATCTAGATGGCAACACACATCACTTGATCGCAATTCACTTAACAACGGCTCTGTGCAGTTTCCAAGATGAAGTTGTCCTTGTCACTCGGCGCAATGGCTGTCATGGCTGTAGTCACTGGGCCTATGGCACACGCAGAGTCATATGTGCGACCCATGGAGAACCTCGGACGCGGAGTTGTGGCAGTACGCTCCAACGCGAGCCACGTCTTGGTTAGCTGGAGGTTGTTGGGCCTCGACCCTGACGACATTGCCTTCAACGTCTATCGAGCTGCTGGCACTGGCAAGGCAACGCGTCTGAATGATGAACCCTTGACGGGCGGCACCAACTTGGTCGACTCGGACGCCGACCTCGAACTGTCCAACACTTATCATGTTCGCCCTGTGGTTAAGGGCAAAGAACAAGACGCCAGCGGGAAGTTTGTTCTGTCGGCGGATCATGCGCAAGAACCTGTCGTCCGCGTCCCGATTCGCTCCGGCGGACAGATCCGATATGTGTGGGTTGGCGATCTAGACGGCGACGGCGAGTACGACTTTGTACTTGATAGACAAACTTCGCCTCAGACACTCGAGGCCTACCGCAGCGATGGGACATTCCTGTGGGAAGTCAACATGGGACCCAACAGCGAGAATCAGGACAACATCGAGCCCGGGTCGGCGACTCTTAACGTCGGACACTGGGACGGCGTCACCGTCTACGATCTCGACAGCGACGGACACGCAGAAGTGGCAGTTCGTATCGCGAATGGCGTCACATTCGGCGACGGTGAGGTCTTCAACGACGGAGACGACGACACGGCCCAGTTCGTCGCCATCCTCGATGGCCGGACGGGCGCTCTGCGCGCATCCGCTCCTCTGCCCACCGACTATCTATCTGATGGACCTCTGGGGGCTCGGTTTGGCGTTGGCTACTTGGACGGCGAGCGGCCACACCTAGTGACGTATCTCAAAAACAGGATCGGCAACCAAGGGTTCAACCTCATCGAGGCGGCGTGGACCTTTGACGGCCGCCGCGTCGCCATGGAGTGGAAGTGGCTCCGCGAGGACCAAGACGCGCCGGACGGGCACAACACGCGCATCGTTGACGTCGACGGCGACGGCAAGGATGAGGTGGCCGAGATAGGCTTCGTGCTCAACGGCAACGGCAGCGTCCGTTACCTCCTCGGCCCCGAGGGTGTCGTCCACGGCGACCGCTACCACCTGGCCAAGATGGACCCGGAGCGGGACGGCCTGCAGGGCTATGGCGTGCAGCAGAGGAACCCGAGCCTTCTCTACGAGTATTACTACGACGCAACTGACGGCACCATCATCTGGGAGCACTCGGGGAGCGAGTTGGCCGACATTGGACGCGGCATGGCCGGCGACATCGACCCCCGGTATCCAGGCATGGAGACATGGTCCTTCTACGGTATCTCCAACGCCCCATCCAACGTTCTCACCGAGCCTGACACTGAGCTGTACCCGTGGCCGCACCTCGGCATCTGGTGGGACGGAGACGAGCTCATCGAACTGTACAACGACGGCAAGTTTGAGAAGTGGGACTGGGAGAACCCAACGCCATCTAATAAGGCACCCCGGCTGCTCAAGGCGTCCGACTACGGCGCCATCAACCCCTACGACCGTAACCCAGCCTTTGTGGGTGACATCCTGGGCGACTGGCGAGAGGAAGTCATCCTCACCAGCGCCACCTACGACGAGCTCATCATCTTTACTACGGATCATCCCACAGACGTGCGCCTGTACACGCTGCCGCACAACCCGGCTTACCGCAACGCCATGACGCTCAAGGGGTACATGCAGTCACACCACGTTGACTACTTTCTCGGACACGGCATGAAGACGCCCCCGAGACCAAAAATCCGCTACGTCCAGCGTGGGTAGGTCGGCGGCATTCAAGTTGGGTAACGGGTTCAGAACGAAAGTGGCCATTCATGAGTGTTGAACTATTAGGGCAAGGGTATGTTCATAGGCAGCTGTCCAGAAACGAGCGTCTTGATTCTTAACAGAGTGAGGTAGCATTGAGGAAGAATTCTAGTAGTCTAGGTGCAGTTGTATTCTATATCTCTCATGACGAAACTTTGACTTGTTCCTGCTTCCATGTGGCGTACTTGCGGTAGATGTCGCGACGGAAGGTCTGCTTGAGCGTGGAAATGACCTCATTGTCGAGAGGAAGCAAGGCCTGCACGGCGCCAACACCGCACAAGTTGTTCTTGCGGTCGATGAACCAGGTCAAGGTCAAGCCTCCGCCCCAGGTCAGCGTGCGCTCGCCATACCAGCCCTCGACGTCCTGTGAGGTAAGCAGGCCGCCTAGCCCATAGCCGGCAGGGGACCCGGGCTCGGTGCCGACTCGGAAGAAGACGCCCATGGGGCTCTCCAGAGCGGCGTGGTGGGCGGCAGCGGCTTCGGGGCTGAGATGGTTCTCGAACATGGCGTCGACGGTAGCCGGCTTGAGGATCTTGCCGTCGTTGGCCAGTAGGGAGCGCAGGATCTTGCCATAGTCCGAGGTAGTCATGAACAGCCCGTGGCCGCCAAAGTCGGCCTGTCCGCGCTGGTTCATGTCGCCGCCACCGCCCAGCACCGCGCGACCCAGGGCATCAGGATCGCTAGGATTCAAGTCAACGAGCCGCGCGCGTAGATCTGGACGCGTCACGGGATAGAACTGCGCGTCTTTGATGCCCAGCGGGCCAAAGAGCCGCTCGTGCATGTGGTCGCCGAGCGACTTGCCCGTCACCCGCTCCACTATCCGGCCGGCCCAGTCCAACCCCGGGCCGTACAGCCAGCCGGCGCCGGGATGAAAGCCGAGCGGATAGTTGAATAGCTGCTCAACCGTTTTACCTGCTTCTGCTTCACCGCCGGACGAGCTTGAAACCGACTTCTCTCGCCAACGGCCAACCACTGGGTCGAGGAAGTGGTATGTGGTGCCGGAGCTGTGCGTGAGCAACGTCTCAAGCGTGATGGGACGAGCTTTTGGCTCCAGCAGCGGCGTGTCGCCATCTTCAGCGAAGCCGGTGATGACCTGCTTGGCGGCGAGCTCTGGCGCGATCGACGAGAGGTCGCCCGTTAGCGAGAGCAGCCCGTCGTCGACACACTGAAGCGCTGCGATAGTAGCGAGCAGCTTGGTCGCTGAGGCGAGGAAGACGACGTCATCAAGCTGGTGCGGCCGCTTCTCGCCAGAGAGCAGCGTGCGTTCTCCCATTGCATTGTCGTAGGCGAATCGACCCTCGGCGTCCGTGGCGCACATAATGGCGCCACTGATCTTGCCATCATCAATGGCCGCCTGGACACTGGCCTCGATATCACCTTTGTCCATGATGGGTGTGGTGTTGGGAATAACTAGCGAGAAAGAGAAAGGGTGAGGGAGGAAGGAATTGGACGACAGAGTGCAGTGCAAGACCGAAGTGATATAAACATGGAAAGGTGGCACCGGCAAGATGACTTCATCCTGAGACGGGTCATCCTGGACCATCCATCACCTTCATTGGTTGCACAAACGCATATCGCGGGGTGACTCAATCGCCGATGCAAATCGTCGACTGTTTTAAAGCTCCGAGCGGCTAGATCGGCAGTGTATGCGGATCCTGGTACATAGGATCAACAATCGTCTTAATTCGCAGGGAATGATCCAATGTTAAGAATACGCGTTTCCTCTCATGACAATCCATCAATTGCGGAAATACACGCTCTATATCCACTTTTCTTAAATGTGAGTAAGGGTGGGGCAGACAAGTTACTGTACCGCCTACGAATCCAGGTGAGGCATGCATGGCGATATATGAAAATGCAAAATACAACGTCCATCAAGACACCATATGGCGGCTTGGGTAGAGAATCGTTGCAGTGCCAATCATGATGGATACACAGTTTACCAATACGTTTCCGCTAGTTCGGTTCATGTTTGCTACGGCAACCCCAGTAATCAGTGAGTGAGTTCTACATCTCCCCCATTCAGTATTGTGTTTTACTCCAACTAATGCGGGCTCGCAACGGTAGGCTTATATTATTCTTGCTACTGATCAAGAGATGAATGCCAGAAACTCATCTCGTGATGACATCGTCTCCCTGTCCCCCTACTACATTCGACAAATGTATATCTGGCCTGATCGTACAGGCCATCCCAATGTGCTCCTGGATTCTTTGCCACGCTATTTAGATTTGTGACGACTCATTGTTTGAGCACATTCTAACGCAATAATGACCAAATAATTAGTCCGTTCAATACCCAGCCGCGGGTATCTGATCGGGCATTTGATCCACGTGAGTGCGACGGTTCGTTCA